GGTCTGGGACCGATGCCTCCCCAGACTCGGCCACGCGCAGAGGGAGGCAGGGGGAGGGGGGAAGGGTTCTTAGAAGCACCCCTGCTTCTCAGAAGGCGCGGGCCTTGTCTGTAGATGTAAGGCCAGCGCCTTTTGGGAAGCTGCCTCCTTCTAAGAAGCATTCCCACCTCCCCCAGACCTCTTTGTGCGCGCCGCCAGCAGACACCCTCGAGCCAAGGCAGAATCACGAAGCAAGGTTTCTTCGCCATGTTCTGCCCCTGGGGGCCCTTACCAGGCCCCTGGACCGACACGACTCAGGATGCAGCAAAACGGGATCCAGGGAAGGGGTCCAGACTGCTGGGGGTCGACGTTACGAAAAATATACCGTCGGGGGTCTGAGACCACCCTTGCTTCGAGTACCGATACGGCCACCCTTGCCTCGTCCTCGCCCTTGGTGGGCCTCCCGGGAGGCCCTTTGCGCCGCGGCCCGGTCCGCCTCGAGACCTTGGTCTGGGCAGAACGCACCCAGGGAGAGGTCCGGGGACGGGTCGTGTTGGTATCTCTTGGGGCTCCCCGGGCCTCGAGTAGTGGCGAGGCGTCCTGATTCGCCGCTGGTCCCACGATGGGATGCTCCGAGAGTGCTGCTGGGGGGCGCGAGATGTTGGCGCGAGGGGTTCCACATGTCGTGGGCGGCCTCCGGGAGTGCCTGGGCGGGGTCGGTGCCTGCTCGAGGGCGGGGTCGGGCGGCGACAGCGTGCGGCCCGGCAGCGGGAGGAGCCGGTCCCGAGCCCGCAGACCTGTGCGTCGCGGAAAAAGAGCGCGGCGGCTGTTTTTCATTGTTTCTGGCCGATGGGTCCTTTCCAGTTGCAGATCTATTGGAAGGCCGTTAAAACGATGGACTGATTAGATCTTGTCTGCTATTACCTACCCCGCTTTCGCTTCCAGGCAAAACCAAGTCATACCACGCGCCTCCTCGTCAAGCGGCCTGACCAGTACAGGCCGTAGTTTGGCATCGCTTGGTATCTCTTGGAAGCGAGGGTGGTCAAAAGCGAGGTAGGTTTGTTTGCCCCCTATGGACGTCGCGAAAAAAGAGCGCGGCGGCCGTTTTTCATTGTGTCAGGCCTCTGGAAGCCGTTTCCCGGCCCCAGGGCCGTCAAGGAGTCAAGGAGCAGCGCGCCCCCGGGGGGGCGAAGTCGCAGAAAACGCAGCGTCGGAGGAGAGGGAGCCAGGGAGGCCACTTCCATGGTGCGGTCAACCACCCTTGCATTCTTCTCTTTCGGCCCATCCTTGACCGCGTTCGCTGGCCGCGCCCCGCCCACAAAGTGTCGGCATGGCCTTCCAAGGCCCTTGCATCCTTGGCGTGCGTCCCGGGTTGGCTGTAAGTTTGCGAGCCGTGCAACAATCGCTGTTCTGAAGGTTGTTCGCCTTCACCCGGCAACGGGAGGGAGGAGAGTGTCCACCGTGACACGGGCGCCAGGCTTCCTGAATCAATTCAAAAGCCGTTCTAATTATGCATGTCAGCCTTCATGCAGTGGCGGAGTCATGGGGAATTTTCTCGCCCGGGTCTCTGACTCCCGTTCCGCAGCCTGTTTTGAGATTCAGATCGGATCCGCCAAGGACGACAGCACTTTTGAACTACACCTGGCGTGTGAGAAAAGTCCGACTCGAAGGCCATTTCGGCTGCAGCCCCGAGGACCGCCGCGCGCACCATTCGGCGGCGAGCGAGGGGGGGAAATGCGAAGGAGAAGGCCTCCTCAGACGGCGGCGGGACTACTCGGAAGCCCCCACGCCTTCTGAGAAGCTTTGTTGCGTCCTGGTGGAAGGCTTGGGAAACTTCTCGGAAGGCGAGAGGACGCTTCCTCCTCGTCAGCATCATAGTAGCATCATCATCCTCATCCTCACCCTAATCCACCTGCTCATCCCCGTCGTCATCATCATCATCAGCAGCAGCAGCATCATCAGCAGCATCATCATCAGGATCCTCTTCCTCGTCCTCCTCCTCCTCCTCCTCCTCCTTCTCCCCCCCTCCTCCTCCTCCTCCTCCTCCTCCTCCTCCTCCTCCTCCTCCTCCTCCTCCTCCTCCTCTCCCTCCTCCTCCTCCTCTCCCTCCTCCTCCGCCTCCTCCTCCTCCCACCACCCCTCCTCAGCCCCTCCTCATCATATCTATTATTTATCCTCAGCATCAGCATCATCAGCAGCATCATCATAATCCTCCGCATCCTCGTCATCCTCCTCATCCCGTCATCATCATCATCACCATCATCATCGTCATCATCATCATCAGCAGCGGCAGCATCATCAGCATCATCAACATCTTCATCACCGGCAGCATCAATATCATCCGCATCATCAGCGCCTCAGCATCAACATCATCATCAGCGGCATCAGCGTCATCATCAACAGAATCACTATCAGCAGCAGCAGCATCTGCAGCATCATCCCCATCCCCATCAGCAACAGCATCATCAGCATCATCCGAAGCAGCAGCCGCATTGGCATCGAAATCGACATCGGCATTGTATTCCTCGTCCTCCTCCTCCTCCTCCTCCTCATCCTCATCCTCATCCCTTTCCCTCTCATCCTCCCTCTCCCGTTCCCGCCCCCTCTCCTTCCTCATCCTCAGCACCCTCCCTCTCCATGTCCTCCTCCTCCTCCTCCTCCTCCTCCTCCTCCTCCTCCCCCTCCTCCTCCTCCTCCTCCTCCTCCTCCTTCCTCCTCCTCCTCCTCCTCCTCCTCCTCATCATCATCATCAGCATCATAATCCCCCCATTCCTCCTCCGCCTCCTCCTCCTCCTCCTTCACCTCCTCCTCCTCCTCCTCCTCCTCCTCCTCCTCCTCCTCCTCCTCCTCCTCCTCCTCCCCCCCCCTCCAGCCATTTCCAGGTTTCGAGCTTCGTGCTCTCCGCGACCTTTCGATCAGCGCACTTGGAAGGGGCGCAGCTGGTCGGAGCCAAACTTCATGACCAAAGATGACCCGCCACGGCAGGCTCAGAAGAGATCCTGGGATTGTCGGGGATGCGGGTTCCTCACCTTCCACTTCAGGTCGCAGTGCCGTGAATGTGGGAACCGCGCGCCGGCAGCCTTTCTCCAAGCTCAAAAGAGACAGGCGCAGCAGATGCAGAGCGGCGGTGGCGGGCCCAAGTCAGGCCCCAACCGCTGGCCCCAAGGCCCGCCGAAGCTCGACAGCAGGGGAGGGGCACCCGCCTCAGACCCCAGCGCCCTCTCGGTCACGCAGCTGGTGGAGCTGCTGCAGGCGAAGGGCGTGGCCAAGGGCAGCCAGCTCCCAGCGGATCTGGAGTCGGCGCTCAAGAAGTCGGAGGAGGTGCAGTCTGTGGACTTGGGTTCGAAGAGCCTTCAGGACCTACTGCAGCGCAGGCAACGGAAGAGCAAACATATCGAGGGTTCCCAGAACCGCGTGGAGGCTGCCAGGGTTGCCCTGGAGCAAGCGCGTGCAGCCTTCGACGCGGAGAATGACCAGCTGGCCAAGCATCGCGAGAGCCTGGCGGAGCTGGAGACCCACATCAAGCACGCTCAGGCGAAGAGTGTCTTGCCTGAGGCCCCAGCTGAGGGCACCGCCGTGGACCCTACCCACGAGCTCGCCATGCTGGACATCATGGAGCAGGGCCTGCGCAAGTACGGGGGCAGGTTCGGCTTCCAAGCAGACTCCATCCTCGCGCAGGCCGCCGCCAAGCGAGCGGAGCTCGTGTCCCAGATCCCCAAGCCCATGGACGCGGAGCCCCCTGCAGATGGGGGCACTCTTGGGCCTGCTGGGGCTCCTGGCGGCTCTGGCGGCCCTGCTGCAGCAGCCTCTGCGGCCCCTGCGACTCCGCAGTTCGACCCAGGAGACGAGAAGCTGCGAGAGGCCTTCGTCAACGTGGGGTTCGAGGTCGGAACTGCCGACGACGGCAAATTCAAGCGCTTGTTGGAGTGCCTCGGCCCGCTTGCCAAGAGGCCCAAGCTGGGGTAGCCCCGCCATCCCAGTGGACCTCCTCTTTTGGCAGCAGAAGGTGATCGACCTCGAGTGGCCCGACTTGGGCTTTTCAGTGCTTGTGGCCCGACCAGAGTTGAGCTTCAGCACGGACTCAGAGCTTTGGGCTCTAGATGACGCCGCCCCTCGGGTCAAGAGGACCCTCGAAAAGGGTGACGGCACAGGGACTTCGGCGTCGCGGTGGTCGAGGTCGGTTGCCAGGTCTTCAGGCGACGCACGCTCGTCCCCTGAGAAAGCGGAGCCCCCGCCTCGCGAGGGCTCGCTGGAGGGGCAGCGCAGCGAGCCGCATGCTCAAAGAGACCCCTGGCTGCACCAGCCTCAGTGGCTAGGGCTCCTTCGGAGTCCTGCGGCATCAGCGGGGCCTCGCCCACAGCAGAGCGGAGGTCGATTGCCGCGACTGGATCGTCGGAGCCTTCCTCTTCTACAGGGCCCTGCACGAGGATTTCGGCCAGAGGTTCGTCTAAGGCGGGCTTGTCGGCTTCGGTTTCCACGCGGGCTGGGATTTCGCGGCGTCAGAACGCGGTCGCCAGGTGCTCCTTGAGCTTGGCGGCCTCACGAGTAGATTGTGAGCAGTCTGTAGTGCCTTCCACTGGCCGTCAGAATGCGGCCGTCAGGTTCTCCTCGAGCCCGGCGGCCTCGCGAGTAAATTGCGATGGGCCCTCGCAGTCTGCGGAGGCCGTCTCGCCCAAACCTGTCGCTGCACCCAGTGAGAAAAGCTATGCCAGAACGCGAGGCCATGTGCTCCTCGAGCCTGGCCTCATCAGAGTAGATTGTGAGAAGTCGTCTGCTGAAGTTGTACACGAGCCTCCAGATGAGGCCGACAGCCGTCAGAACGCCGGGGTCGGGTGCTCCTCGAGCTTGGCCCCATCACGAGTAGATTGTGAGGACTGGGTCTCGAGCACCACCAGCACAGAAGCGACGGACACCACGCGAGCAGCAAGTGTGGCGTCTGTGGTCTCTCAACGCCAACGCCTGGAGCTCCTGGCAGAGTGCGCTGGACTGGCAGAGAAGTTATGGTGCCCGGGCTCGGCCTCATGTCTGCTTTGCTCAGGGGCATCGCATCAAGGACCTGGAGAAAGTTCGCAGCGTTGCTGGCTGGCTCGGAGCAAGAGGGTATCACGGAGCGGACGTGCTCGACCCACAGGTGAGCAGGCCATTGATAGTTCGGGTGGCATTCTGACCGCTGCATCGTCGCACATCGCCTTTGCTGGGCTAGGCTCGCGTCACACTGGGGTCAGGGACTTCGCCCGGGTCAAGGTCATTCGAGGCAACATGGCTTTTCCTCATTGGCTCCTACTGGCCTCAGCCTGCGGCTTTGTCGACGCCAAAGACAAGCGAACAGCTTGGAGTCTTCCTTCGTCGCTCGAAGTCTCCGTGGGTTCTAGCTGGCGGCTTCAACCTGGCGCCTGATGATGTGAAGCTGCGTGAGTGGGTAGAGCTGCTCACAGGGGCGATTGCGGCACCATCGGGGCCAACCTGTTTCGCCTCCAAGAACGGCTCCACCATCGACTACCTCGTGGTCAGCCAGGGCCTGGCCAACTTTGTCAGTGATGTCAGAGCGATATATGGCACGCCTTCGTCACCGCACGTCGCGGCATCGCTGCAGCTCAAGGGGCCCGCGCTCAACGCCCCGCTCCGCGTTCGCAGGACATGGAAACCGTTTCCTTCAGTATTGTGGATTGGCCCACTCCGCGCGCCTGCCGAGCATGGCTGGTCTTGGCCCGCTGGAGACAGGGGGCGTGCAGTTGGAAGATGCCTGGTGCCAATGGCTCTTCAACATGGAGCATGAGCTCTGCAGCCAGTTCGACCTGGTGGGCTCTGGGCAGCGCGGCTACACTGGCAGGGCTGACGGATTCGAGCGGAAACAGGTGCCGCTGGCCACGTCCATGGAGAAGGCTGCCATGTCTGGCGGCGGAGGCCAGATGCGAGCCTGGAGGTCGCTTGACGCCATCTTGCCCAGGTTCCGAGGCCTCCAGGACCACGCCCTAGACGACAGGGGCCAGGCGGCAGAGGAGCAGGAGGTCTCCCTTACGCCCTTGGGCTTCGTGCTACCTGACTACACGTCACCGAGCACAGGGCCGCCCCCGTTGCCGAGGGCTGCCTGGCCATCGCTCTCAGGGCCCACCACGCCCGATGCGCCTCGCCAGGAGTCTGCGGCCAGCGAAGCTGCGCACACCGCGTCGCCGCAGCCACGGGCTGCTGCGACCCGCAGGCGTTGGCGAGTCGCCGACTCTCGCCAGGCTTTGCTGGATGAGCTGGGCCACCTCGACTTCTCGGAGCTCACCAGTGTCAAGTCGATCGAGTTCGACCTGCACGTGCTGCGAGCCACGGCGGAGGCTGGAGGCGAAGACCTGGAGACGCTGGCCTCCAACGTGCACAAGACAGCGCTGGAGGCGTCCCAGGCGGCGGCCAAGGAGCAGCTGCAAGAATGGCGCGAGTGGGCTCAGTCTGCCGTCAAGTCAGGCGGCCGTCGAGCGCACCGATACTTGAAAGAAAGATCAGCCTCAGGTGCGGGGCCCCACAGCTCCTGAGGGCTGGGCGCTCCAGGGAGACGCGGCAGCGCAGGCCATGCACGACGAGTGGCTGCAGTATTGGGGGGGGCGCCAAGGAGAGCATCTCTCAGGCACAAGTTGCGGTTGCTGATCAGGAGGTGCTCGAGAGGCCGACCCCGGGGCGGGCCCGCGCGGCCTGCCGCTCGTTCGCACGCCAGGTCGGATCGGGGGTCGACTGCGTGAATCCACGCTCCTTCGAGAGGCTGGTAGACCTGATGGTGCTGTGGGAAGCAGACCCCCAGCTTTCGGCCAGGTGGCCGACGCTCATGGTCTTCCTCTGCAAGCCCGACGGCTCGGGGGCCAGGCCGATCGCGCTCATCTGTTCCATCCTCAGAGCGTGGGGAAGCCAGGGGGGACATGGCCAAGACGCGGGAAGGCGAGCACGCGGCTGGGGTCTTCTGGGGGGGCCGTGACAGAGAGTGCGACAGAGCGGGCTGGGTTCACAAGACCATGGCTCACTATGCCCGAGCAAAGGGCTTGCAGTCAGGCACCTTGGCCACGGACCTGGACAAGTTTTACGAGCGCTTCGCGCATGCGGTTTTGTTCGCGGAGGCGGAGGCCGTGAAGTTCTGGACCAGGCTCTGCAGGGCGGCCTGTTCGCTCTACTCGGGGCCACGAGCGGTGAGCTTCATGGGATGCGTCTCCCAGGTGTTCCACGCCTCGGGCACGGTGCTCGCGGGCTGCCCCCCCGCGACTGGCCTCGCGCGCGTGCTGCTCTACCGCCTGCTGGCCACGGTGGAGGGTGAGCACCCGTCGGCGATGGTGAGGAACGTGATCAACGACATCAGCGCGCAGGCGGTCGGCACCAGCCCCCATGTCGTCAGGCAGCTCGGCGGCGGCGGGGGCAAGATTATCGACGGTTTGCAGCGCCTTCATCTGGTTGTCTCGGAGAAACAAATCGAAGGTCCTCGCCTCGTCGAAAGGAGTTGCTCAGGGACTTGCTAGTGCTTGGAAGGCCTCGTTCCAGAGGAAGGCGGTGATTCGGAGTCTTGGGACCGACTGGCAGGTAGGTTCTTCTAGGCTTGCCCCCATAGCCTCCTCTCGGGTTCGGACTTGCGTGCGCAGGTCCAGGCGTCTCAGAGCCCTGAGGCGAGCTGGGGCCTTTGTGGGGCACAGTCAGAGAGCGGGTCCTCAGGTTTCTGCGTTGCGGGGGGCTTCGGTCAGGGGGCTTCCGTGGTCGCAGTTGAAAAGGATCCGCTCCCAGGCGCTTCTGTCCCTGGCGCCTGCGAAGACAGGGGCCTCGGTCGGCTTCGCACTCCGCACTTTCAAGCAGGGTAAAACCATGGACCCAGTTCCCTTCTATTTCAAGCAAGTGGTTTTTGAGTGGGCTCGTGCTGTGTGGGATGGACTCCCTAGCATAGCTACCCTCCAGGCAGTCTTCGAGGATGCCGTGCGATCGCATGCCACCACCAGCCGCCCGTGGTCCAGAGCGACGTCGCCTGCCCACGTGTTCGTTCTTGCTTGTGGAGATCTGGGGTGGGAAGCGAGGCCAGCACGCCTCATAGTTCTGGCAAGAGGTGAGCAGATTGACCTGCTCAGGCTTTCGCCAACGGTTGTCGCCGTGCTCGCCCAGCAGGCTGCCAGGGAGATGTCGGCTTTTCGTGCCCTCGAGGCTCGTGTCGGTTCGACGTCGCGGTGTCGTCCTGGCTTCTGGCAGCCTCTGGATCAACTCATGTCCAGGCGCGCGGACTCCTGGGCCAAGTCGCATGTCAATGCCCTCAGGGCTTCGGTCTCGGGGGCCCACTGGCCGCAGGGTCGGCTGTATAGGCATGGGCTCGCGTCGTGCAACCTCTGCAGGCTTTGCCAGGGGGGGCCCAAGGACCATGTTCCATCGTAGGTTTCTCTGTGATGCATGGGCGTCAGATCGCGTTCATTACTGGCCTGATGGTGCGTTAGCTGCCGCCATGCTAATTCGGGAGTTAAGCGACCCAGGGGAGTTGTTTTGTTTTTGGTATGTTCCCGTCTCCCAGGGAGTTGGCCCCCCCGCCCCTGGGGTCTGGAAACTGCCACGTTTCCTTGATTCGGAGGCCAGAGGATGGCCTGCTGCGGGGCAGATGTTTTACAAGCGGTTCTGCGATTTTTCCCTCGGACCCGCCCTTAAAGCGAGCGGGATGGGCGGTGATCTCGGTCGACGACTCTGGAGAGGTGCTGGCCGGGGCTGTCGGCCCCGCCCCCTGGGATGTCGCCCCCCCTCCAGCTCGCCAGAGATGGCGAGGACCTTGCGTTCTCTATGCTCGGCCAGATCGCATTTGCCCCCGAGTTTGGGCTGACTGTGCGGCGACCATTTCCGCCTCGCAGTCCAGAGTTCGCTCCGCGAGTTCGCGGCGCGCCCGGGCCCACATGTGGACATCGGTGCATGCGTCATTCGAGGACGGCCTGCAGGCACACAAGACGAAGGCCCACTGTTCGGAGGCCGACGTCGCCAGAGGGCGCACCATTCGCTGGGGGCGCAAGGCTAACGCCATCGCCGACGCCCTCGCCAAGAGGGGAGCGGGCTTGCACCCGTCCGTCGAGCAGGCTGCTCGAGAAATTGCTGGCCTCAAGCTTCCGGGGCGGGAGTTGGGCCAGCGGGCTAGGCGGCAGGGGGCTTTGATGAAAGAGCGGGGATGGGGGGGCTCTGAGGGCCTGCCTGACAAGAGCCACGGGGCTGGGTCTGGGCGTGCTGGCCCTGGAGAGCGCCCCATTCCCCATGTCCCCGCGCGTGTTCGAGCCGTGCTCTCAGCCGCGGCTGACTTTTGGCCCTGCGACCCCGAGCTTGCCATTTTGATGAGGCTGACTCAGCGCAATTTGCGTGCATGTCGCGTGTATGGTAATACTGGCGCTTCTGTGGTGACCGCCCCACGTATGATTTGCTGCATGTCGCGCGGTGCCCATGCGCGGGGCGGTGTCCGCGGGCTCCGTGACAGCGCGCGTCGCGGGCACAATGCTGGGTCAGGTCTGAAACAGCAGCGTTCAAGGTTGCTCGCAGGCCTGTTCCCTCGGTGGCTGACCCGTTATAAGGGATGGAGCGCGAGTGTCCTGGAGCGCCCCCCCCCGCCCCAGGAGATCTCTTGGATCTCGCCCGCGCGACCCCCGACCGCCCCCAGGCGCGATCGGCCCTCCCTGCCGGCAGGGCCGTCTTCCCCAGGGGGGGCGCCCTGGCAGGCGCCGATGGGGCGCGGGCCGCCCCTCGCCCGCTTCGGCCCCACAGGCGCTTCGCTCTCGGGCTGGGAGCAGGAGGCCGCCCGATGAGGGGGCCGAGGAGGAAGAGGAGGAGTGGGCCTAACTCGCTTTGTTTTAATCCCCGCGGTTGGTATATTGGACGCCTTCCGCCTTCGTCTTATCTCATTTTATTCTATCTTATATTATATCATCTTAAATTATCTTACCTTATAGTACCCCCTTCCCCCTCCCCCTTTTCCCCTTTTCCCCTCCCCCTTCCCTCCTCCTCCCCCCTCGCCTCCTCCTCCCGCCGCCCCTCCTCCTCCTCCTGCTCCTGCTCCTGCTCCTCCTCCTCCTCCTCCTCCTCCTCCTCCTCTTCCTCCTCCTCCTCCTTCTCCTCCTCCCCCTCCCCCCCCTCATCCTCCCCCTCCTCCTCCTCCTCCTCCTCCTCCTCAGAAGATCTCGAAGCAAGGCGTGGCCCCTGCTGCTGGTTTTGGGGCTGAAGTCTTGGGTCTCACGGCCTCGGAGTGGCTGAGCTTGAAGAAAATGATGGCCCGCCACGAAGGGCCTGCTCATGGTGGAGTTTCGCTTACGGCTAAGGGTGTTTTGCTGGAGGACGGTAGTGCTCGATTTGCCCTGGCCCCAGCGATCCAATGGTGCAGGATGATATAGACCGCTTCGCGGCGCCCTGATCTGTCTTTGGTTTCACACGCTGAGCTTTTGAAGCTCTGGGAGTTGAGTAAGCCCTTATAGTGCCCCTCGTGGAACAAGTCACATGGGCCTATCTCTCGGGCTGTCTTGAGTTTAAGGCGTGCGGGGTGGCGCGCCGAAGGCCCGCTATCCTGGATCGACCACAACGGTTTGCATATAGATCTGTCTGTCACTCCTCCAGCCCTCTTAGCAGACCAGCTGGAGGCTGGCTTGCAAAGAGAGCGTGGGTTCGAATTTTCCCGTAAGCTTGGTTTTGCTCCTGGGACCAGGGCCACCCTCGACCTTATTCGGGACGCCGTGGGGCCAAAAGCTCGGAAGTTTAACCGTTTCCAGAAATACCTCATCAAGAGCTGCGCATGCGGTGGACTGTGGACCAATGATCGCGCGATGCGTGCGGGGTACTTGTGTGACGGGTTGTGCGAGTGTGGTGAACCAGACACAGTCCACCATAGGCTTTATACGTGCCAGCTCCAGCGTGTTGTCGATGCACGTGTGGCGTCCGAGGTCCCTGATGAACACCTCCACGCTGCGCGTGAGAATCCTAACAACCCCATTTTCACCAGAGGGGTGCACGTATACGAAGGCAGTGAGTTGCCATGCCCTTCTGTGTCGAGTGAGGTGTTTCTCTATGACGGCAATGGCAACTTGCATGACATGGAACCTGCGATGATTGCGGATCTCACTTCCCAGGCCCCCTTGCGTCTCGCCTCGGACGGTTCGAGCACGAAGCCTTGGATTCGACCGTTGCAGAGAGCAGCCTGGGCAGTCGCTGTGTGCCCCGACGAGGGAGAGGACCAAGTTGCGATTGTCAAAGGCATCGTTCCAGGCGTTCTGCCGCAAACCTCAGCTATGGCCGAACACTGCGGCATAGCCATATGCGGCCAGATCGCCACGCGCCCTGCGGTGCTAGGTGCTGACTGTCAGGCGGCGATCAGGCCCTGCCAAAAGAATGTGCAGGATCAGATCTCTCTTCCCAATAAGTTTGCAGCTGCGCGCGCTTTTGCACACCAGCTAGAGGGCGCCGATCTGATTCAGACAATTCGGCACGT